GTCAAGACTGGTATGTAAAGAGCACGCTGATAGACTAATGCTACCCAGTTGTTATTTCAGGAGAAAGTTAACTGATACGGATGGAGTGATTTTAAACAGATGTGGAGAAAATGGCCATCTCAGGGACTTGTCCATCTTGAGACAAGAGGTCAAAAGTAGCTATTTTGTTCTGGGGATATAGGAATTTTCTTTCAACAAGCTTGTTACTAAGGCAGACAAAAACATCTCTTCACTGGCTAACATTTGCAGTTCACGAGGTTTACAAGTAGATCTCGACTTACAACCATTAATTTAGTGATCAAAGTTACAACAGCACTGAAAAAAATGACTTCACACTTATGAACGTTGCAGCATCCCCATGGTCATGTGATCAAAATTTGGATGCTTGGCAACTGGTTCATATTTATGAAGGTTGCAGTGTCCTAGAGTCTTGTGATCCCCTTTGGCGACCTTCTGATAATCAGAGTAAGTGGGGAAGCCAGATTCACTTAACAACTGTGCTAGCAACTTAAAAACTGCAGTGATTTGCTGAATAACTATGGCAAGAAAGGTTGTGAAAATGTGGCAAAACTGACTTAACAACGGCCTTGCTTAGCAGCAGAAATGTTGGGCTTAATTGCAGTTGCAAGTCGAGGATTACCGGTACTTTTGAACCAGAGAAAGGATACATGACACTAAAACAGAGATTGGTTTTGGGTTACAGTCTCTCTGGATTTATGCGAGTAGATATGTGATTGGGCATAAAGGTCTTTGATTGGAGAAGAAAACCCGTGCCTGTCTAGTGATATAGGAGAGGCAATTAGACTAATTATGTTTAATGGGGCAGGACTATAATGATAACAGTGTTTTCAAAGAATAAAGAGGCACCATGAAAGTAATTTCTCTCTAGGGAATTATTTTGTGTTGCTTTCACAGAGCTCTGCTTAACTCCCAATATTTTATCAACTTTCCTTGGCCTTTGAAATGTTTATGGCTAAACTGACAGTTTCCCTGGGGAAGCATCATTGGTTTAGGGGCTTTTAATTTGAACCCCTCCCCTCTTCCCACCACATTCTTCTTGCAGAGACATTTTCTGTTAGGATATTGACAGGAAATGATAGCTATGTTCTCATTGCTGCTCTTGACTGTCTTCCTGCTTATCATCTTCATATCCAGGAGAGTCGGGATGGACGTGTGGACAGCTGGAGGAACTTTCAAGCAAATACAAAAGGGAAGAAAGAGAAGAAAAATAGAACCTTTTTGAGACCACCCAAAGTGAAGATGGAGCAGCGTGAATAAGCTGGCTATTCTAGGCTCCTGTGGACACTTGTGTATTACCATGTTTAAGTCTCTCCTTGCTTTTCCAGTAGAATCTTTGTTTTCAGTATGATTGGTTGAAGATCAGAATATTCTAACCTCTGCTTGATTCCCTGAGGTTCGTGGTTGAATTTCCAGGCCAAACCTTCTGCTGCTTTTAGAATCCTTGGCTAACTTAGAAAGGCGCCACCATCACATGTACTTGTAATCCCCGTAATTTAATGTTCTGTATTTCAAGGGTATTGCTGTTCAAATTTGCCACCAAGCCTGTAGCTTGTGGAAGCATTCATTCAGTATCTCCATAAGGCAGATCCTGAAACTGGGCCTGGTGTCTCTTCCTGCTCACCTCATCCAGCCGACCATTTTTCATCTCTTTCCACTTGCTAGTGGTGAAGTCTGGAACCTAGAACTGAGTTGCCTAGTTAAGCTTCACAAGAGGTTCTCAAGTGAGCTGCATGGAGCTGATGTTTCCCCCCCCCCCTAATTTCCAACTGTGATCCACGATTGCAGCTTGGTGAACAAATAGCCTGATTACTAGAACCACCCCCGCCCTCTGTAAATAAAATAATATCTTGCATTGTATATGCAGTTAGTGGCAATGTTCTCTATGTAAAATAAATTTTTACCCAAAAATTTTTCATGCCAGTGCTCAATTATTCCAAAAACTTGCAGGTTGAAAGAAACATGTTTTCTCTGTATCTCAGCATACTATGTTTATTCATGTCAGAGGCATCACAGTTAAAATAAGGCATACTAAAATATAAAATACAAGATTAAAATATATATAAATTAAATCTAATCCCGAAACTAGCAGCATGTTCTGTTGCACTGTATTAATTATTAATTAAGTAGATTAATATTTGTATAGCTTTAACTGAGTCACATACCAACTTTTTAGTCTTTGACCTATCATCACAACACAGCAAATTAAGAATAACACATTTGTTGATTGATACCCATTTTGGCATATATGGCTTCTGTGATGGCCTAGCAGTGAACCTTTCCTGGGGGCGCCACCTGTTTTAGTCCTCTTGTAAAATGAAACCAGGGCAAACCAAGCTTTTCTTATTCGGAATAAATCCTTAATCTCAGATAGGCAGCAAGACTGATCTTTTCAGCCGCCCTAGCCTCCCATTGTGTTTGGAAGCTTGGATAGAATTCGGATGAAGTTCCTATCTGAGTGGATGTCACAAAAAACAAGGTTTATAAGGTTTTATAAAGTAAAGACACAAAGTATGACCTTAATTAGTTTGGTCTATGATCTGTGATATTCCCAGTACAAGAACACAACGGTATTTTTTCAGGTATCACAAAGACAAGGCTTAATACTCAAATGCTTATTCTAAAAATTGCTGTTCTTATAAAGGGGAATATTATACCGATTGAATATTGATGCTTTTCAGGATGAAAACAAAGTTTTGCTGGGATTCTAGTTTGTATCACACTTCAAGCGTTTAATACTATAAGGCAAATTCTGAGAGTCGCCATCAGACCAACAATAGAATACTAAAGCATATCTAAAAATAACTTCCAAGTATTTATGGGCTAGTCATGCTTTCTTGGAATACCACTGATCTCTTGGCCACTAACCAACATGCCCCAAGAGACCCGCCTTTTGCAATCATCTGAAGTATCTGGAAGAGGCTGGATGTTACATATGATTCACCCGTTATGATTTGGTAGACTTGTGGGGGGGTTCATTTTCTGGTAATTCAACAAAGTACATAATGTGGCTACGTAAGATTTCACAACAAGATAATCAGCTGTCTGGAGGAAGGAGTAGAGGAATCCGTCTGCACCTTTATTTTATATGGTAACTAGAAAAGTGGGCTTGTACAACACCCTGAGCCACAAACCATCAAGTGACATGTTAGCCAGCATTTTGTGAAATCCAATGCCTATGGTTCAGTGTGCCATAATAACACAGCTAAGGATGCTGCTGTTTTTCCACACTGGCCTATCTAGGATAAATCAGATTTCAATGGGGAACTTAGGTTGCCATCAATAGGTTTGCTAGTTCTGCTTAGCTGTCCACCTGATTTGAATGGTTTCAGAGTTATCCACTTATGCTGTGGCTTGGTTAATTCTGACTGACAAATCACAACTCTCTGTGCACTTTGCCCAACATGCTAAGCCACAATGTGCTAAGACTCACCACTGTACTTTTCAAACCACGTGGCTTTTTGAGAAGTTATAACTGATGCTTCCCTTTTTTCCCCTAGTCTTCCTCTCCAACTCCTGATTTTTCTCTCTGCAGCCTCTGCACCATTTTGTCTTTTTAATGTAATGCTATTTATAAAGGGGTTGGTGGAACTTTTCTTTTGCATCACTTGACTGCTTAAAAAAAGACACACAAACAAAAGTTTGTTTTTTATAAGTCTGAAGAAATTCTGCTGTTACTTTGGGGAAATAGAACTCTTTGTTTTTCACCAGCCAGAAGCCTAAGATTTTGGCATCCTGTCCAGTATTTCTCACCCTCAAGTGATACAGGTGGAATCTTCTCAAGAGGCCCCAAACCTTAACCAGAAACTTATTAAAGTTTATTTGTTTAGAAGCCTGAACTCACAAACTGGAAACTCATTCTTTAATTCAACTGAATATAACTAGGATGCTTAGTGAGCAACTCACAATCATTTCTTCATTTGCAGCATGGGCACAAAGTTGTAATGGGCTGTTCTATTAATGGCGGTGGTCCATTAATCCTTTACTGTGCGTAGTACATTCACAGGCAACTGTGGAGAGGAGGGTGAAGAGGAGCTCAATAATGAAACATGTAATGGTGACATCACTTCAACGCTATTACTTGTAATTGCTATGTTGAGTGATTTCGTTATTTTGCCCTCATCAGAGTTTGCCATGCATATTGCCAGACAATGAAGCTCTGATTCAAAGCCAGATCAAACATGTCACCACATGTAGAAGGCTTAGGCAGACACTCCCTATTAGAAGTCTGCCTCCACTAAATTTTGAGCCTTTCCCCAAAGAGCATTAAAACTGACATCCCTCAGGATCTGCAGCCAGGGAAACTTAAAAATTTATAGATGGGAGAAAGAAAAACTGAAGGAACATGAAATCATATGGCAGTTTTCTGAATGAACTAAGAACCAAAACAGAAGCAAAAGGTAGGAATACAAAGTCAATTTGTTTGATCAGGGTCAAAATAAGACATATAAAATTCTGGAAATTCTTTATGGACTTTTTGTTGATATCTGGACAGAAACGTTAATGATCCATGGATTTGTGAATGAATAAAGAGTAGGCTATATAAAGAAATGATACTGTATCATGGATAAATATTGTACTAGTTATGATGAAGATCAGAAGTCATTCTTTAAATATTGCTTCCGATTTCCTTTTTTCTTTTCCTTTTTCCTTTGCACTGTATACTTCCTTTTTTCTATTCTTTTCCCGCTTTCTGATTTCAGTTTGTGTTATATTTTATTATTGTTAAAATCCTTAATAAAAGTACTTAATAAAACTTTAAAAAAAGGTTTCCTAGAGGATCATGGCTGAGGGAGAACCTAGGAGGGTATATTTTTAACAGGGCAGGATATCTGTCTTTGCCCAACTAGTTTTAGTATGTTAGGTCTCTTTTCTTGCCCAACATTTAGTTGTAGATGAAGTCAGTCACATTACAAACAGACCTGGTATTTGATCAATAGCTTTTCTAGACAATTGAAGATATACTGATAGAATTGTAAGTGGGGTTTTTTGAACATTTTGAGAAATGGCTTCTCATTTTTTAAAGAACCAATTGTTCTGCCCAAAGGCATTGCACAATTCAGTGACCCAGATCACATGTGATAATAACACCAGCAACATAATGAAGTTGCGGCTCTCCCCACTCCCCATGTTAACTTCTGCAATCTACATATGGCGTACTTGGTTATAGAATAAGAATTTCAACAAAATGTTACTAAATATTATAGCTGTTTAGCTAGAATAGGCCATAAGGAATCAGTGTCATTGGAGGATTTTAGAAATAGCGTATGAAATGCCAGTTTGTGGTTATGTTTTAAATCTTGGTATATTTTATGATGGACGTTT